TGTCATTTTAAAAAGCTTTTGAATAACCAATTTGTGGGACAGGACATTTATGGAAGGTATAGTTTCGTTATTCATATCAAAATATGAGATAGCAGTATAGATTTAAGCTTTTGCTATAGTTTTAACTATATTTACTGTAGAATGTATTTTTTATTGTAGGCTGCTTATACTCATGGAGCATTTTATCATTCTCCTCATTCATGTCATGAACCCAGCAATCTTTCAGCAATACATCATATCTCAATAGCCATTTTCAGCTCTCACTTTCTACTAATACAAAAAACTAAACTAAAATATGTGAATATTAACAGTGGACAGTCCAACTCTTAGGTTCTAGTCTTCATTTCCTTACTGTTTTCTCATCCTTCCCAACAGACCATTCCAAGAGCTGTGAATATTACTAATCATTAAAAATAATCACATAAAGATTAATAAAATGCCCCAGGTACTCAGGTATGCAAGCTTAGAACTGAGCCTTATATTATATCTTTAATATACAATTCTTGGAGAGTAATATATAATTTCAGAACACATCAATTCACCTGCTTGCTAGAAAGCCCTGTAATAAGGAAAGATGCATGTACAATAAAAGCCATTTTCAAAACTCATGAAGGAATGTGTAATTTATGAATGAACAGAAAAATGTATGGCGGGTAGTACATTCATAAACAATGCTCAGTAAGGTTTAGTCCTCGAGGATGGGGAATGCTCTAAACCAATCCAGAAAAACACTTAAGCACATACTTAAAGTCAGCTATCTCAATATTTCCACAGATCTGAATGGGATTGTTAATGGATTTAAAATTAAGCATGCATTTACCGGTAACTGTTGGATTGGGTTAGAGTGGTAAGCGCTTTATAAGAGTGATTCCTCTCACACACTTATACACACACAACTGAATCTAAAAATAGTTTACAACCATTTCAACCTCTCTTCTTGTCATAGTTTTCTTCCAGATCCTACATCAATGGGTTTCAACCTTTTTGGACTCAAGGCACCACTCCATAGTTTTTGTGCATTGAAAGGAACCACATTTCAAAAACTAAATGATCTATTATGGTGCTTACTTTCTTGCTAAGGAGCATGCAGTGGGGGACAAGCCTGAAGCATTTATCTGCTTATCTCCTCACACCTTTCAGCCCTGGCACACTGGTTGAGAATCACTGTCCTACATGTTACTGATAACAATTTTTTTATTTAAATCTCCTTTCTTTTTCAATAAATTGCTATTTTAAAGGAATGAGTCCCTGAAAGACTCTGTATTAGTAGAAGTCTAGAGACAGGTTCTGATTTTGCAAAGATCCATGCATTTGATGCACTTTGTGCTTTATGTGTAGTCTCTGAATTCTGACCTAACAGAAGCCTATTTGAAGTTGGCCACTGACTGTGGCCAGGATTTCAGTCTGTGAGGTTAAACAGCTATGAAAATCTTTCCTGAATCAATGCCACTGTTTAATCTCCTATAACAGAGGTATCAAACATATGGCCTGCATGCTGCATCTGGCCTGTAGAGCTGTATGATCCAGCCTGTGGTTGCTGGACCAACACCACATGTTGCCCCAGGCCCTGTGTGCTGCATGTGGTGTGCAGGTAGAACCCAGAGCTGCACACCCTGCACACAGTACAGGGGACCAGCATGGGGCATGCATTGTATGCAGCAGCCTGCTAGATTGGCTTGGTATGCTGGCTCTGGGGCTGGTTCGGATGGGGCCATGCCAGAACCAGTGCACAGGGCCAATTGGGTAGGGAGCTGCAAGCAGCATGTACCCTGTGCTGGCCCCTGTGCAGTGTGCACTACATACAGTTAGTCCAGCCTTGTGTGCCATGTGCAGCACATGCCAGCCCCAGAACTGGCTGTGCACATGGGGCTGGCGTGAGGTTTGTGCTGCCCATAGCAAACCGGCTGGACCCAGCGCTGCAGACGGCACAGGCAGTTCTGGGCATGGGCTGCATACAGTATCCTGAACTGACCCCTATCCTGCCTGCCAGGTGAGTCTGACACCCTGCCTTATCACATGAATATATCTAGCAGAACCCTGATTCTTTCAGAACTAGTAGGTCAAGTTCATCCTTTCAATGGCTTGCATAATATTAGAGACTTTTATAAAATGTACACAATATTCTTTATGATCTGTTGAAATGACATCTTGGACTCAAAACCTTTTTCTACCTTTTTTTTTTTTGTCTCAGCTTTGCAGGACCTTACTTCAACTCTGCACACAAGTACTTACACAGACAGCTTGCTTTCCTGAATTACAAGGCTGGGTTATTTCCACCCCAGTACCTAACAATATTAGTTTCTATCATGTACTAGGCTTAAGAAATGTCAGGTAAAATTCAGCTGTTTTAAATTTCTAGTGAAAAAAGCAGCCTGGAATTACAATTGCTTTGTACTCCATAGCATAATTCCACATTTAAAATTGACTAGATATATATTTTTCTAATTTAGAGTAAATAGAAGCTAGGGCCAACTATGTCAGTATGGAGCAAATATATTGTTAATTATGCTATAAACTGCTGAATAAATTTTATACAATATTCAATCACATCATTGCAGAAGTAGTGATGGAATCTTGTAATGAAGAAAAACTATTTGAAAACTACATCATCAACTAAATGGGAGAATGAATGCATGTTATAAGTAATAGCTTAAATGAGTACACCAGAATGAAGAAAACTGTCCCTCTCCTTTTAATGTTTGGTTGGTACATCTGACAGCAATTTGTAATAGTTTTGTTGATTTATAGTACTTTTGTTGAGCATACTGACCCACTTGCTCCTGTACAGCTCCCAAAGGGAGCTCATATGCATTCTCTTATAGGACTGCAAAAGGGACACCAGTAATAGAAAAAACAAAAAGGAAGAGTCAGTAACCAAAATTGTATGCAGAACCTAAGTACAAAAGTTCAAAAAGCCCCTAGCCAGAAGCACTCTATCATACTTTACTTAAAGTACTGTAAGTTAGAGCAAGACCAACTGAACAGCTATTCAGGCTCAGAGCCTGCCTTCACTGGTCAAGGTCAGCAGCTTGGGGGTGCTCTTGCACACCTCCCAGGAGGCTGCTGGAGTGACCCCTCTCCAAAGCCCACCCCCTCACCAACAGGTGACTGTCATCAGCGGCTAGGGGGGAGGGAGTCCCTACACCACACAGTGCCCCCACTCCCCACCACATTGCTGTGTTAGGTCTGGGGGGCCAGGCCAGGTCTGCATGGCAGTGGGGCCCATTCCCTCACCTGGCCCAGCCACTTGACAACTGCAGCCAGGAGCTGCAGCATGGGGCTGCCTGGCCCAGCTTTTCACTGAGCTGGGAACTGGGGGTGGGGGAAGGGAGCCCTTATGATACATGGGACACACCCAGATTGCTGGGTTAGGTCTTGTGGGGGGCAGATGGGACTGCGCTGGGTCTGCATGGCAGAAGGCTGCCTGATTCAACTTTTTGCTACAGTGGGAACTTGGGGTGAGGGAAGGGAGCCCTCCTACTGCATGGACCTGGCCCACCTCCCCGCACTAGACCTGGAACAGCAATCTTGGGGGGAGGGTACATGGCACAGGGCTGCCTTCTACCTCACCCCAGCCTGTTCACAGCTGAAGCCAGGAACTGCAGCATGAGGCTGCCTGGCATCACCAGGAACTGGCAGTGGGGGAAGGGAGCCCACCCTGTTCTGCAGACCTGGCCCACCCCCACCTGACCAAAGAATTGGGGGCAGGAAGAGCTGGTGGCATGGGGGGGGTCTCTTCCCCCACCCCAATCTAGCTGTCCAGAGAGAGAACAGGGAGGGAAAGGTAAACCCACATAACACTAGCAGGGTTGTAATGGATTAAAGAAACAGTTTTGTAATGGACTAAAGAAAAATCATAAGACCTGAGAAATACACAAGATTTTCCAAAGGCCAGTTTATTAGGATCACTTTAGCTCTTCTTTACTCTTACTTCCTAAAGCTAGAAAATTTCTCTTGTAGGCTAGTACACACAGAACTAACACTGAATACTTTATCTTAAATATCTTTCGGGCCAAAGATAATCTCTAAGGGATCACTAATCCAAATATTTTTATTCCAACAACTATATAGCTGTAATATACAGGTACACATACATTTGACTGTTTCTGCAAAGTTAAACATCACATTATGCTATCACAAAAAAGTGATCAAATATATAATTTTAAAATGTGTCAGAATTAATTTTACTAACAAAATGGAGATATAACTTTGTACTATTTTAATATTCATGGATATGTTTCTATACCATTTAATAGGTTATACTTTGGCATTATAACTGTAGTAGTTTAAAGATCTACAGGCTCTGCTTTGAATAATTAAAAACCTGGGGGAAGAAGGATCATAAATGTAATATATTACAGGATGGGAGATCAATGGTCACTTTTTTCCATGATGCTGTTGCATTTATCCTCAAATAAATGTAACAGCTTTTTGCCAAAAAACCTTCTTGAAGACCTTAGTTAGATCTTTCTACAGCAAATTCCCAGTAAACCAATGGGCATTTTGTCTAAGGAGATACTTTACGATTGGTCACCGTATGTATTACACTACATTAAACTTACACTATATACTTGCTTCCAAAAATCTGCACTCAATATATATTGAAATGTATTGCTCACTAAAGTAAGGGTTGACAATAATCAGATATTAGTTTGTTTAAATCCACTTCCTGGTACTGGACATTAGTTTATATCAAACTGCTTCTTCTTTTGAATTCCTTTCCCTCCAAAAACAATCCAGAACATTAAAAAAAGATGAAAATTTAAAAGTCCAAAAGATTAGTATCAATCAAACATCGCCCCTGTTTTTTCTATCCTCAAACTGAAATGAAATATTTTAATCCCGAGAATAGGCAAATATATAAACATGCATTTTCAGGTGCGTACAGAAAACTGAAGGACATAAATTATTTTTGTGCAGTACTAAAATAAATCAAACCACATTAAATTATGAATATATTCCTTTCAGGTATATTCTGTAACACTATGCTCTTTACTTACCCATAGTTTTCATCTGTACCATTGACTACATGATCTGCCCATGAACTTGCACCATTGTAACACCTTTACAATGCAGTTAAAATAAAGAGGTGTTATAAAAATATATTAATAACACTATAATTCATATGACATATTCACTACTCACTAATCTGGAATTTTTCATATGTTTTTAATACATTTTCCAAAAGAAAAATGGACCCCTTTTTTGAAAATGGTTATGTATATTTTTTCCTAATACTCAACTTATTTCAGTAAATTAACTCTATTATTTTCAACAGTTAGCTTAACTATCAATTTGTGCTCTTTAGGAATGTCCCTAATTTTTCCCCGTACAAAACTGCCTACAATTTATGCTCTTTGTGTGGAATAATACTATTCCTAATTAACTTGAAATCTATATACAGCATACCATATACACTATAAATCAACACATTTCTTTAGGTACTAAAAGTTCCTCTAAATATTGAAGCAAACACTTTAAAAACTTAAAAAAAAAAAATTCTATTTAGTATTTCGTATGGTTTATTATATTTGTTTATTTTTCAGAAAGAGGGGAGATTGTATTCAGTTCAATTTGAACAATAAAAGATAAATCAACGAGACTTCCTATTAATATTATTCTATGCAATATTTTATTAGCTACATAGTCAAAACATTTGTAACATGATTTTAGCAAAATTAGATGAAGACAATGTCATAGATGCATCCACACATACAGGCAGGTGTACTTGCAGCAGCTCAAGTACCAGCGGCACAAATTTGTGCCAGAGATTTTGTGCCTCAGCACATGTGCCTGAACATGCACTTTGGTATGGAGCAAATTGTGCCACTTGGGGCAAACTGACCCTGCCTAGCTCCTCCTGGATGTTCAGCTGGGAGAGCTAGAGGCTGGGACCAGCACCTGTGCTCGCCCCAGCAGTATAAAAAGCTGCCCTGACAAGCAACTCAGGACTACTTGCCTTCAGGAGCTTCTAAGGCCCGGCCAGTTGGTATCTGGGGACACAAGTCCCTTGTGCCAGCTGGACTGCTGAAACAGCCCTAACCCACTGCCTCTGCACCCTCTACTCACTGCAGCAGTCTAGCAGTGGGAGCTGCTTCCTGGTTTGTGACCTGCTGCCACTTGCGACAGCATGAGGACCCTTGGACCTGTGGTCCCATGGCTGCACACCTGCCAGACCCAGACAGGGACTGCACGACCACCTGGGCTGTGATATGGGCACTTCTGCAGAGCTGCCTACACCACTGGGCCAGCTGCCAATGGGCCAGGGGTGGACAGGTGGCCTTCAAGCAGCACTGCTGTCATGTCTTCTGGTGTCCTCACTCTGTCATCTGGGCAGCTGTCGCCCAGAAGATGTGCTCATTGTGGTGGCCAGATTTGAACTGTTAAAACATGTCCTCCTGGCCCCAAATAGCCAGGAGATCAGCCACCTCATCTGCCCTCCAGCTGGGTCCCTGGTGCTGGCCCTAAACAGGCTCCTCTGCCTGGGTCCCACCACTGGACTCACCAGTAGGGATCCTTTGTTTCCTGTTTAAAAAATATAAATTCTCTGACAAACCCCAAATTCTCTCATTATCCCAAAATCCATGTTCCAATTCGGAAGCCCACCAGTGCCTCTATCATCATAATAAAATAAATTCTAAATATCTATACACTTTGGCATTTGCTTTTGGGGTTTTTTTTATCATAGAAAAATCAGAGCTGCCCCTGCCCCCTTCACTCATTAGGATGTGGAGCTAGCTGCAGCTGGACCCACAGCTACTTTGTAGCACCGAGCAGCACTGATATGCTGGTGCCCTGCCCCTGCCCATACCCTTGCCTCTCACTTCCAACCCACAGCCCTGCCAGTGCCCCTCACTTCTGACCCCACTCTCTCATTCCCAGCAGCGGCTCCATCCCAGCACCAGGACATGGGCACAGGTGCAGCAGTCCTACCCACTGCTTTGTAGCTCTAAGCAGTGCCAGCCCTTACTGTTCTGCTCCCTGCGCCTATGCCGAGGTCCCAGTGATCCAATGCTGGGTCTGGGAAGCCCTCGACTGGAGCTTAGGGGCTGGGCTGGGCAAGCCTCTTCCCTTCCAGGCCAGCTTCCCTCTGCAAAGGCTGCTCTAGGGGGGGCTCCAAGCCCAGCTCTAGCAGCCTCTCCTACCTGGAGCATTACACCCATATCTCTCTCTCTTTCACACACACCCCTGTTGCCACCCCTGGCCCATCATATACACCCATAGACCCCGCTGCAACCTCAATTACCCCCCTGCCCATCACCACACAACCCACCCCCCCAAACCTCACACCCATCCCCCTGCTGCCACCTTCACCCCTCCCCCCAGTTCACCACACACCCCACAAGTGGTTCCTGGGACCAGGAGTCCCCCCAGACCAGGGCTGCATGTCCCAGCACTGGTGTAGGCAAAAGGTAGGGGTGCAGTGGGGCAGTTGCCCCTACAGCCATGGCTCCTGCCAGCAGGTCCCATTCCATCTGGCGGCTGGGCATGCAGGGTGTGAGATTTGTGGTGGGATGTGGGGGGTAGGGTGTGGGGTTTGTGAGGGGTTAGGGGGGTTCATGGGTGTGGGGTTTGTGAGGGGTTAGGGGGGTTCATGGGTGTGGGGTTTGTGGGCAGGTATGTAGGTGGGGTGGGGGTTTGTGCAGGTGGTTTGTGGGCATGGGGTTTGTGGGTGGATAGTGCAGGCTTCATGGGGGACTGTGTGGGAGTGGGGGGATTTTGTGGGAAAGATGGACCCCCCCACCCACCACCTCACAGCACACAGCCCCTACTGCAGCAGCCAGCAACAGGCCCTTGGGGCACTCATGGCCCACTGCAGGCAGAGTCCCCAGCACAGCATGGCACCGCTTGAAAACTGGGGGTTACACATGGCAGCCAGAGTTGGCCTGGTTCACTAGCATGCACTTTCAATCAGAACCAGGCCACGTCCTGCCTCCACGTGGTAGGCATGTGTAGGCAGCAGCCAGCCCGGCCTGATGGTGTGCAGGTCCTGCCTGCAGTGCCAGGAGCCCTGGGTGGTGGAAAGAGCTGACCCAGTTCTGCTTGAAGGCATGAACCAGTGAACTGGGCTGACTGTGCAACACATGTAGTCCCTGGGTATCAGGCAGTGCTACACACTGCCAAGGGGCTCTGCCTGCTGCTGGGGGGTTCTGCCTGCCACCAGGAGGCTCTGCCTGTAGCGGGCCATGAGGGCCCACTGCTGGCTGCTTCGGTTGCTGCAGTGGATGCTGTGCACCATACGGGGGGCAGATAGGGGGACACACCCCTACCACACAGTCCCCCCACCCCAATACAGTTCCCCCACCCATACACAATCACCCCCCACCCCCACATCCCTGCTTACCAGGTACAGAGCCTGGGTCCCAGCCAGATCTGAGCCACTGCTGCCAGCCATGCCCCAGTTCTATTTCTTTCAGCATGCTGAAGCAGTATGCTGGAGCAGCAGGGGCATGTGGCAAGTATAGAGACACACTGGCTGGGTGCTAAAGCATTTCTTTGGAGAACCCAGCCTCCAGTTGCTTTGAGGCAAGCTCCAGCAGCGTGCCCTGTGCCATTTTTTTTCCAGGGTGTTTTATTCTGATACCAGGATTTCCCAAATTTCCCAGTATCAAATTTAGATTCCGTACAGCATATTTGCAGCTCAGGAAACATTATTTTTTGTTCAAGGCATGCCTCCTGTGGTGTCTCAATCTGCTTTGAGGTGCCACAATAGACACGTACTCACCCATATGGACATGGCCCATGAAGTATTCAAATTACTCCATTTGATATATGGAAATGGAAAAAGGAAAAGAGATGTGGAGCAAATGTGACCTCTGACTGAAATATTTGTCATTCTTCCAGAAACCTCATGATAACTGCCTTATCATGTACTATTCTACATCTCTGGGAACACATTTAAGTCATAGAACTGAGTTACAGAGATGGTGATATTGACTCAAATATAATAATATCTGGAGTGGTAGATTTACTATAACCTGTTTGCAACTAATACTTCACTGGTTTAACTGATCTATGATCTCCTCATGACAGTAGATGTGAACCAAGGCTGAGATTCACAGATTGTTCTGAATTTAAATAAGCACTATTTGACGTGCCCTTTTAATCTAGATACCATAATCTTATCCAATTCAAAATTCTGTTATATGGTAAGTATGCTTAGTCTGTAAGTATTCTAAATACTATGTCTTATCTATTTCTATTATATAAACGAAGTACCTTTCTGGAGTATGAGTAGTGTCGTCATAATATGTATTAGGCACTCTTCTCTCCTGCCTAGTCCTCCTGAATATGAAATAAACAGCACAAATATTTTAGACATTTTAATACTGCCTACTTTACTCTGTTTTTCCTCACTGCATTATCACCATACTGATGTACATATTGTACTTAATCTGATTCATGTACAACAATATCTACCAAACAAATATTAATAGCTAAATTCATTAAAAATACATTTTTACATTCAAATAGTGCTCTGCCATGATGTATTCAGGACTTGTGATGCATTCAGATATGTTTTTAGCAGGCTAGAGTCATATGAGAATGTATGTGCGTTTAAGTGAAGAATTCAGGAAATTTTAGAAAAATTATGGGATGGACTTTGAGAAATCCCTGATTGGTAACATGAATCAAAAGCTTGTATATTCTTAAGTGCAATGCAAGAGAACAGCAAATGACATTAAAGCACAATCCTTCTAATGTAAAGAAAGGAAGATAATAAGAGGAACAAAGAGGCAAATTAAAAGAATAAGGAATTATGTAGTGTCCTCAGAAATTGAGCGGGGCTTTGAGATGGCAAATGAGAAAAGAAACTGAGTAAGTCCAAAAAGACTTTCATAGATTTCATAGATTTCATAGACATTAGGGCTGGAAGGGACCTCGGAAGATCATCGAGTCCAGCCCCCTCATCGAGTCCAGCCCCCTTTGATAGAGTGTAAGTAGTGAGTACTGGTATACTAGATTAATGGAATCATTTCATGTTCCAATATATTTGTGTTAGAACATTTGTACTGTTTTGTAATTGTGAGCACATCCACCTGTCAGTGCAATTAAACGGGGTGTTTGTGGAGATATGTCCTGAGGTCTGAACCTAAATAATTGTACTGAACTTGTGAATTGGGAGAGGTAAATATAAGAGGGACGCAGCCAAATGATTGGCCAACATTTAAAAAAAGACAAGATAATGAAAGAGAAATGATGCTCTGTAAGTAAGGGCAAATGAAATTGTGCCTAAAATGAGTTGGGTATGAGCACTACCATATTGGCAATTGGTACTACCATGTTTGCTACTACAGTAAACAAGGTCAAGTAGAATTTGAGTAGGTTACTGGAAACCAAGGGGTTCTTTAGTTTGCACAGTATATTTACAAGAACAGGCTCCAAGCAAAAGCCATTCCACAGTAATAGCGAAGTCTACAAAGAAAAGCTGTGAAATGGTCTAAAGGCAGTCTGATGTTAGACTTTTTGTGAGCACAAGGGGTACGCATACATGAAATTCAAGCAGATTCCTATTCTGGAAAGAAAGTTCAATGACACTTAAATCACTAAAAGATAAATAGAGAGCAAATGGAATGACAGGAGAGATATAGGAAGCTGGAAATCTGGATGGCTTGGAGATATAAGATGAAGTAAAGCTGAAGGATACAGTGTCTAGGAAGACTAGAAGCCAAAGGAAGAGCAGTATGAAGAAAATGCATGCAGCTATCCAAGACTGATACTCCCAAGAGGTATTCCAGCTCAACAAAAAAGAAGATCCCAAGAAGGAGACTGATGAAGGTAAGTGGCTGAATCAGGGGAAGACACTAACGCAGAAACGGTAACATCAAAAAGAAAGCAGCAGCAAGTAATACATTAAGGAATATAGAATGTTTTTATCAAGATGAAAATACATATTTAGTTAAGATGAAAAAGATAGGACTTTTTCTTAAGCTTTAATACAAGGAATATTACAGAATGATGCTTGATATCCTTAAAAATAGTATAAAATCTGCAAACATTATCATGTGTATAATACAAATGACATCTGTGAAGGAACATTTAATATAATCCTGCAAGATTTCATGGACCTAGGAAAGGAACTGAATTTCGGGTGATGTAGGTGATCTTTTTAGATAATCCATGTTAGGTAAAAGGAGATAGGAAATGGTCAGGAAAAAAACAAAAAATAGCAACTGGCAGAGCTTGGATTTAGGAAACACTTCTGTTGTAAGAAGACTCTGAGTTCGTAAAATTTGGCATAACTCCATTTTTTAGCTACACTAATTTACGCCTTCTAATTTGTCCTGAAATCTGAATAGGGGAAAATACCTTTTTACTCTTATGTAAAAATTAAGTATGTAGCTAAACATATGAATTAGCTGATTTCATCTCATGTTTTCAAAAGTACTTTACACAATGATTTTGCTTGAATTATCTTCTTTAATTTTGCCATATTCACTTAAAGAGATCTGACTGTATTAAGAATACATGACTATTATTCAGAAGACATGAAATCAGATACTCAGTAGGTATAAAACAGCATAATTCCACTAGAACAAATGAAGCCAGCACATTTTTTGGCACCTAAAAATCTGGCCCCAGGAATATACAGCTTTCAAGGAGAACTGTTCTGATACCTCAGACAACTTGGACACAATCTTGCTCTAGGCCTCTATTTCCTCATCTCTAAACTGTTAATAGCCATGTTTACCTTCCACGTGGAAGAACAATGTGAGGACCAATTAATACCTGTAAGCAGCCCTGAAGTCTTCAGATAAAAAATGCTTTAGAGATTTTAATTTATTACTACTATTTTTGTCACCCAGTTACGTATTGATGACTGAGGTACCTTTTGATTTTTCTCTGCAATTTGGATATTATGCTAAATTATTGTTTCTGTTACTTCCTGAATGAATTTGAGTGACTCTCCCTCTTATCATTCTGATCTAAACTACTAAAAAGCATGACTTTTTCAGGTTAAATCTCAGAATTATACCCATAAAGCAACTTAACTTCAACAGAAATATTCTTCCTGAGTTTAAAAAGGTTTCAAGATTAAAAAGGTTTCAAGATTTTGACATTATAGCTGATTGCTATGTCAAGGTTTGACATTATAGCCAATTGTTTTAGCACTGATCAACAACCTTTTCAAAGGCTGTGGGACAGAATGACCAGCTTAGGTGATAGAGGATAGGGTGCTACTAGGACCCAGCTGCCATTGCTTCTCCCCACCACAGCACCAGAGAGATGCCTGTCACTGAATATGTGGAAGTCCCACACCCATGGGCCAGCTTCAATGGCTTCATGGGTCAGATCCAGCCTGCGGGATGTAGGTTGCCAACCCCTGCTTAAGGGGAAGAGTCCTGTGGGACTGAAAGTTCTGGTTACCATTTTGCTTTTGTCTCTGAAACCAGCTTTACTGCCACTTAAACTGCTTTTATTCTGTTTTATTATAAATGGAAACTTTAAAAAAAAATCTGTGAGGATTTGTTCCTGAATCCTGTGAAGATTTGTTCCTAAATTTTAAAACAACATGGCTGTTTTAGAATGTCCCTGGAGCTCTTAACCTCTGGATTATGATGCACATAAATACCTTTAAATGTCTTAAAGCACCTATTATGAGGCTAAAAATTATGTCACTCCAGGGCAGGATTATCTCTGATCTGCATAACCTTGTTCCTGTTCCTTTAATGTGTGGCCACTCCCCACAGCTGTGCTGCCCAAGTTGAAGTCCTCCAGTATCCCAGGATGCAGTGGCCCCTCCCCCACATGTTGTTTCTGCATGCAGCTGAAGATAGCGACAGTCCGAAGCAGGTCAGGGTCGGTGGGGAGTAAAGGGGAGGAGGGTAAGGCATGGAAAGCTGGAGCCAGTGCACCAAGATGCTACTGCAGGGCACATAGATGTTACTTTGGCAAACATTAGAGAAAGAGGAAAGGTACATGAGGCGGTGTTGAGGATGCAAATGGTGCTGCAGAATGAGTCTCTGGTATAGGCTCTGCTGCCCATCCTAGCTCCATTGCTGCCTGTCCCAGGAGCATTGCAGAGAGGAGGAGGTGGAAGTGGAGGTGGAGTAGGGGGAAGGAGTAGGGGAAGGTGCTGCCTCATCATGGTGAGCCGCCAGCCCATGCCCATGACAGGCTCCAACAGAGGCAGGTGACATGGACAGTTACATGTTCCCACCTTTCCCCCCAACCTCTCTCTCACATCCCTGCCCACAGAGCAAGGATAGAATCCTGTCCTCGTTCACCAACCCTCTAGTGAAAAGTCACAGCTGTGTAGGTGGGAAACAAAAGTTTTTAGCCTTAATGTGTGACTGCACCAAACTCCAAGCTAGCACTAAGCCAATCAACATTTGTGCAGCTTACAGTGTAAAGTGTAAGAAGGCCCTAAGACTGTAATCATGAGCTTTGTAACAACATTTTTTCAGCTTCTGCCATGGAGTTCTGCACAGGAACCAATTATCTGTCCCTTGTTAAAACAATAGTAATACATTACCATTATCTGCAATTACAAGCTGACCTTAGTTATTTCAGTTTTTCTTCCCCACATCTCAGAGGAATATTTTCCTATTGCATCATTCACACAATTCTTTGGAATTGTTTTATATCTAATGTTCCATTGAAAATACTATAATGACATTAGTTATTTTTTCCAAATGCAACACCATACCTGCACCACTTTTCTTAGATATTATATCTTACGAATATTTTATATAAGCTATTATTGACTAAACTTCCCTCTGCTTCAGCTTCCTTGTTTGTAAATAGAAATAATGATGGGACCTGTGAAACTAAATTTATTAATGCATCTCAGGGATTTAGCAACTAGAGAATGATCATTACACAAATACCTATGAATAACAAAATATTCATTACTCTGTAAGTATTCAAATGAACCTCTACCAGAATTTATCAGCTAAGCAGAGTGGAATTTTCAAGAGACTTAGAATTGACCTAACTCTAATTACTTTGAAGTCAATGGAAATTTTACCATTGATTCCAAAAAGAGAAGAGTTAGGGCCAACAATGCACACTTGTGAAAAATCCTAACAAAATGTGGAAGCTATAAGAAAAATCCATATACTCATTGATATAACCTACTTTCTGAACTTGGTTGTTTTTTGTTAGCAAATCTTTTACTTTCTCTTAGAATTTAAAGCTGCAATTATTAGCTCTGCATAATCACTCTTAAATTAACATATTTACCAAGTAATCACAATAAATTATACAGTATTTTTATTGTACAGGTTTAATGCATAAAGCATAGATTGCTTCATTCTGAACCTGAATGATTAAACTATAAGTGGGAGAATAAATAAAGTACTCTACACCAATTATACCTCTCAAGATCATAGTAAGCACCCTCAGAATAGGTACGGCACATCTTACGGGAACGAAGTAATCTGATTGCATCTTCACAAAAGAGAGGATATATTGTGTGATCCTTGCTGCCAAAACATAAATAGTAAACACAATGAAAAGCAACACAAAGATGAAATGAGGGCAGACACACATGAAAAGTAGGAAACTTTAGAAAGGGGTTAAGAGAAATAGAACTCAGCCAATATAAAACAGAAGGAGAAGTAAGAGTATTGATGAATTTAGTAAAATCACAAGGAAAAAAAATAAGATAAATTAACCTGCAGGTAAAAATATAATGATCATGCTTTGGAACTGTCTTTTATTAATGTCTCATACTGTTTAAGAAAGAACTGCATATGACATCTCTAATTCCATTAGATGCTTAGGCTGGTTGATTTTATATAATTTTAATGGACTCCTTCAAGACACAACAGAAACAGTGCAATATAGTTTCATTTTTATTTTACCACATATGGACTTGGAAAACTAAAACATGTAAAGAATAAAGCCTTAGTATCCAAATGTCTACGACTTGATAGCACATATGTTTTTAAAAAATATATATTTCTTATTTTGATACTAAATTCAGTGCTTCTTACTTTTATCTTCTAGCACTTTACAATGATTTTTATAGAGCAAGGGGAAATGTAGGTACACACAGGTACATGCAGCATTTATCCAGAGTCACACAGAAAAAATATATACCTGGCATCTCTGTGTTGGTGGTCAGTGGACTGAGTGTATCGGGACCGAGGTAGAGTGAGATAGTGACTGAAAGCATGGCAGAAACAAAAATACAAATGAGACAATAAAATGAAGATGGAATAATGCATATAGAAAATAAACAAATGTTAGAAAGCATGAGAACAGAGCAGCTTTAAACAAATTGCCTAGAAATACTGAAATAATTACTGAAATGGCAAATTTGAAACAAAGTAATAAAAATCAAAACTAGGTAAAATACTGTACATTTTATTATATGAACATGTTAATAGCATGTTACTCCTTTTGACCTGAGTAGCTACTAAAATTCAATGTGTAGTAAATTATTCCAAGTAGAAGGGGAACCTGGTGACCAAATCAGCTATTTATCATAGAAATCATAGAAATGTGTCTGGAGGGAAACTCAGTTCCACACTCTGAAACAGGATTAGCTTTACCTAGAATAACTCTGACAGATGTTTGTCTAATCAGTTCTTAAAGGTCTCCATTGCTAGGCATTCAACAGCTTCTGTTCCTAACCTAATTCAGAGTTTAATTAAATTTAAATAAAAATCCTCAGTTCCTTCAACCTTCCATTACAGGTCATGTCTTCTAAGCCTCTTCTGATTCTTGTTGTTCTCACTGTGGACTCTTTTCAATTTTTACATCTTTCTTAATGCGTGGTGCTCAACTGGGCATATTTTTCCAGCTGAGGCCACGTTAGAGACAAGCAGAGCAGAATAATTATCTTCAAGACCCTATATATGGCCTACCTATTAACACAATGCAGCACTGCATTGCTGACCCATATTTAGGACATGATTCACTATAAATCCAAGGTTCTATTTTGCAGTACTATTACCTAGGTGCTTATTTATCATTTTGAATTTGATCATTTGATGTTCCTTCCTAAGAGTAATTCTTTACTGTTATATTATTGAATTTCATCTTATTACTCAGGAGCAATGCTCCATGGGAGCACCAATGACTTGGCTGACACATACTCTTAAATGAAGTCCACAAGTGAAACCTACCATTTTCACCAAGGTTTATGTATAAAAATATTTGGAGAAAACAAGGGTATTCACATGCTAATTCTCCCCCCATGGGATCCTCCAAAAATCTATATGCAGATGAGGCACAGGGCATCCTGGTTTGGCTCCACCTCACAGATGGTGGGGCCACATTAATCATATGTGACAGGCTGAGGGGGGGGGGGGGGGGGGGGGGGTGACCAAGGGATTCTGGGTGAATAGTTTGGGTTCCTATTTGGTGATGTTTGCCAAAACTTTAGGGCTGGTTAAGAAACAGGACTTACTGGAAATGGGAAAGAAAGTTGCAGCTCAGCTGTGGGAATGAAGGGGAAGTTGAAATGTATTCAATGTAGTGGCTCATCGTGACTTGAAAAAGAGTCAGTGCTGAGGGAGGGCACTACCATATATCTTATTCAGATGGGTTATATTAACTTATCCTTGGGGTTGGTTCCCATTATTATTTTTGCCCCATATGGGTTATATGTTTTATAGTCACGCTCAGTATAGGCATAAATAGGTATATTTTTTGCCCAGTCTAACATTCCAGAACATCTGTACTGTTCAGTACTTAGATTAACCTAACCCCTAGATAGGTCAATCTGAGAGCAACTACATGTGCTATTAATGTGATATAGGTTTACTGCACAGTAACATATTGCTCAGTAAGTCTTCCACAGGAGCGGATCTACATGTGCACCCTGTTGGAAGCAAGCCTGCTCCCAATGGGAGCAGCCCGATACAGGGCTGCTCCTGCCCTACTCTGCCCAACTGCAGCAGCCAGGAGGAGCTCCAGGCTCCCCCACAGGTTGCTGGCCTGGTGGCTGGCAGGGGGCACAGATATGATCCCAATGTGTGCTGGGGCCAGAAGAGCTCTGTGGGCTGCAGTGGCAGCTATCTCCCGGCCCTGTGCACATTGGGACAGTTGCCCCTGAAACTGCCAGAGCTCTCCTGGCCACATGCACTTTGAGACACACAGCTGCCAGCAAGCCCCATGTCCAATGGGGCTTCCCCAGCCAGCTGGAGGATTGATAGCAGCTGCCTCATAAGTGAGACAACTGCCAGTGAGCCCCTGGCTGAGCATGGAAGCAATGAGCTCCCCAGTCCCAGTGCTGCTTGGCTTCTGGCTCCTGTTGGAAGCTAGCAGCTGTGCAGCATTGGGATGGTCGGGTGGGCACAGAGCAACTCCATCCCACCACTGATCAATGCCAGCTCCTGTGGAGAGCCAGAACCTGAGCAGTACCAGAACCAGGGACAGAGAACTCCCCTGTGGTCCCCTGCTGGTGTGGCTGACCAGGAGCAAGTTTGCTCCCAGTCAGCATCTACATGAGCACTACTGGACAGGTCTACACAAGATGCAAACTGTACAGCAGCCTAATAATATTGTGCAGTAGTGTGCCAGGCAAAAATCTGTGCTAATACACTACTGCACAGTAGTATTAGGCTACTGCACAGAAAGTGTCACTAAAAACCTGTGTGCTGGCACTACTGTGCAGTAGCGTGAGTTACTGCACCTTTAATACCTGGTTAACCAAGTACTAAAATTAATGCGCAGTAACTGCAGTGCATTAATGAATTTGTTGATGTGCCCACTGTGCAGTAACTACTGCACAGTTAATCTAGTACCTGTATTTACAGGTTTTAGCTAACTGCACAGTAGATTAATTTATTGCACAGTAAATGCCACATACGTGTAGACAGTGACACTTTACTGTGCAGTAATTAGTCTAGCGCACAGTAAAGTGTCTCATGTAAACATGCCCTCTAACTGTAAGATCCACATGTGTGGCTGCATTTACACGAGATGCTGACTGCGCAGTCATTACTGTGCAGTCATTTAGTACTTGTATAAACAAGTACTTGTTTATACAAGTACTACATGACTGGGCAGTAACCCAAGTTACTGTGCAATAGCATGGATGAAAAAATGGCTTTTTCGTAATGCTGACTGCGCGCTAGCCCAAGACTACTGCACGGTAGTATCAAATCATGGTTGCTGCCACACGACACTACTGCTCAGTCAGTGTCTAGAGTAGATGTGGCCTGTGTGAAGTAAGTTAGGTCAGACCTGATATACCCTCCTAAACTCGTATATGGTTTAGCACTTTCAATCTAATCCTACTTAAATACATTTAAGTGTAACTTCTGTACATAAATTTAAGTGTAACATCTATGCCCTAAATAATTTTTTTAAAAGGTAGACACATATCCAATAACACTTACATTTTACTGAATAAAATATGATATTAAGGTATCTTATTCATCTGGAGACTGAGAAACAGGCAGAAAAAGAAATGTTGGTGTCTAAGGGCTCCTATACATGTGCAGGGAGACTATTCCAATGCACTGTAATTACAGCACGTTGGAACAAACTCAACTAATTGAGCTGGCTGGAGCATGGTAATTACTGTTCTCCAGCAGACTCCAGTGTCACATGAATCAGCATCCCCATACTGAAAAATGGTGGCAGGGTGCTTTAAACTAAAGCTTGTTCGATGAGCTTTAGTTCAAAGTGCCCCGCTACCATTTTTCAGCATAGGGACGCTGATACACGTGACGCTCTTGGCACTTTTAATTAGTGCGGATCTCAGAGTCGCACTAATTTAAAGCGCCCCCCTCTGCCTCCTGAAACACATCTATAAACAACCTAAGATATTGTGTGCCCTGGTCCTCATTTCTTAAGTGTTTCATTCCCTAAGTGTTTTTAGAGCTAGAGTGTTTTCAGTGGTGGCAGATGACAGAACAAGAAGCAAATGGTCACAAGTTGCAGCAAGGGATGTTTAGGTTAGATATTAGGAATTTTCTCACTAGGAGGGCAGTAAAACACTAAACAGGCTACCCAGAAAGGTGGTGGAAGCTCCATCCTTGGAGGTTTTCAAAACCCAACTACACAGAGCTTTGGCTGTGATGATCTAGTTGGGGCTGGTCCTGCTTTGAGCACGGGGTTGGAGTAGATCACCTCCTGAGGTCCCTTCCAACCCTAATTTACTATGATTCTATGACCTTTATGACTATTAACAATCAAGAAAATAAGCTTTTACTGTATTCCCCTTTAGTGGCAACTGATTATGTAGTGAGATCCCAAATAACTGAATTCCATGGGATCTTACCTACGGAGGAAATTTTCAGAGATTCTTACTACTGTTCTGCAATGGAGAAAAGTAGTCATTTTTTAACAATCTGAAACAAATGTTTCAAAGAAAAGTACACTAACAAACAATGACAAAACCCATAATACATAATTATCCTATCATTAAACTTTTACAAACAATATATTTTACTGTATATAAATGCAAAGTGACAGATACGTAGATGTTCTGAATTAGGGGAGTAATTAATTTAGGCTGTATTTTCTTTGGCAAAGAACAGACTCTTTGTATGGGTGAACAAGATGTATATGATGAAACAGCTTTCCATCAGAAAATACAGTTGTGTTAATATTGATGTATCAAATGTATTAACTCTAATGTTTTTTAACAATAATTGAATTAAAATTAATCATCTTAAATTTTTCATTCCATTTGTTAATGTTACAATATTTCTTTTAAGTAGGGTAAAAAATTGCATGTTAATTTTTTCATTTTGTTTTATTTTTATTTTAAAGTACCAGCTATAATCTTATACCTTATATTTTATACTATGTTTTGATATTACTGAATAAATTCTCTCTTATTTAAATTAAATAATTTGACATGATTTAAAGAAAAGAGTTCAATTATTCCAAAATGAAATTTAATGGGGTTTTTGAAACTGCATATTTCTGTAAAACAAAATGCTTATTTTTAAACCTTCTCTCATATTTCATAAAAAGTCATGCACGTTGTAGTGTAACAATAATAAATAAAAAAAATATGTCACTTTAGATCCCTTTTGTACAGTATTTCTAGTCTGTACTTTACATACTTGAATACAGAAAATTAAGGCTTGAAATTGATATGCTTAAAAAGTAACTGCTGAAAGATCTTGGCATGAGAACATGTAGTAAAATATATGGTATAAAAGAAAGGATTTTTTAAGACAAACTTAATGAAGGAGAAC